TGGACACCTTTGGGGACATTATTCTGTCTCCCACATGGGATTAGGATGTGGACATCTTTGGGGACATTAGTCTGGAGTTCCGAGGACAAATAGAACCCACAGGACCTTTCTCTCTTTCCCTAAGTAGAAGGCAGCATCTGCACTGGTCTAGTTGCTCTCACTCACGAAGCACTCACTCATTCATTTAACCAATATTTAGTGAGGTCCTGCTCCATCCTGGACCCTGGTACATAAGGGCGCAGAATGAACACGACATGCAAAGTCCCTGTCCCCATGGACCTGACAGCCTTGTCTAGGACACAGTCCAAAATAATTGAATATACCTTATGATTCAGTAACCCCACTCTGGGTGTACACCCCAAAGAATGCACGGACTTGATACTTGAAGAGATAGTGCACACCCATGTGTTGAGAGCATCATTCAGAATAGCCGGAACACGCACACCAGTGTCTTCACAGAATTATTCACAGTAGCTGGAACGAGCAAACAACCCATGTTTATTGACAAATGAACGGAGAGAGAAAATGTGATCCATCCACCCAATGAAATATTATTCAGGCTTAAAGAAGATGGAAATTCTGATACCTGCTACTACATGGACAAACGTTGAGGACATAAAGCCAGTCACAAAAGGACAAATCCTGTGTAGTTCTACTTATATGAGGTCCCTAGAGTTCTCCAATCCACAGAAACAGGAAGTGGGATGGTGGGACGAGGAGCCGGGAAGAGGAGGGGACTGGAAGATACTTTTTAACGGGAGCAGAGCTTCAGTTTGGGCAGATGAAAAGAGTTCTGGAGATGGATGGTGGTGATGGTTGTTCAACAATGTGAATGTCCTGAATGCTGCTAAACTGTGCTCTTAAAAAGAGTCCAGATGGTAAATTTTATGTCATGTGTCTTTTCCCACCATTAAAAAAAAATAATTAGCTATCCAAGTCAGTGAGATGACCCATAAAGGCAAATAAAGTGTAGAGAGGAGGGAGGTAGAGTGCTCTCTTTAAGGACAGTATTTCAGCACAGTCCTGAATTCAGCGAAGGAGCAGCGTGTGCAGATATCTGGGGAAACAGCATGCCGGGCAGAGGGAATAGCCAGTGCAAAGGTTTGCGCAAGGAGAGCCTTAGCAACTGGATTAACAATGTGGAACGCCCTGGTGGCAGTGCCCACAGCATTTTCAGTGAAGCAGCAGTGACAGGTTCCAGCAGGGGGCAAAGAGGTGAATGGTATCATCCCTTCCTGCAAGAGATTTGCTGCAAGGAAGAGCACAGTAATGCATGGTACCTGGAACATAAAAGAAAGTCAACTGAGGGTGTTCAGCTCCTTAACGTGTGACTGCGGTGTTAAGTGCTTCCGTAAGTGGGAAGCTTATGATGTACCATCCACAGCTGAGATTCCCAGATGTGCACCCTTGAGTTGATTAATTAAACCTGTCGCCCTCAGAGCTCATCAATCCAATATGCAATCATCTGAATTGTCTGTCTTCATTAGACCACATGACAGATTTAAATGCATACCTAAGAGAACCGAGGATCAGGACCACCTATCTTTTTGGGAAGTGGGTGCCATCTCCATGGTTAATTTGTTCATGATGATCGCAGCCCTGACTCTGTGATTTCAGAGAGGACTTGTCTGAGATGAGCCTGGCACATTGGATCACACACACCTGGTATTTACAATGGCTCTTTTCCATGACACTCACTGATCTTGAAACAAGGGTGGGGATGAAGACGACATCCTGACATCATCTTATCTCATACTTAAATATGGGATCACTGGATTTGACCCAGGAAGCTGCAAAGTGCTTCCTAGAGGTCCGGACAGCTTGCATGCCCTCTGCAAAGCTTAATCCACACACACACCAAGGATAATACACTCTGAACACGTAGAATGCTCTTGATGTGTTTCTAGAAAGAACAGATCAAGTCCCTCATCTTTACAAATGCATGAACATCCCAGTTTTCTCCAGGGACTGACTTTTTGCCCCTATTAGTGGACCTAAATTTGGAATGAAGCTCACGTTTTCTGATGAGGCAGAGAACAGAGGTTTGGGAGTGATATAAAACCACGACTTTGAAGGATAAAAAAGGGAACACAAAGAGACATCAATCACACAGACTTTCCCCAGGGAACACCAGGCAGATCCTTGACATCTTTATATACAATGCACAGGTGCACACACAAGTAAATAATGCATATATAGTATACACAATCACCATTATAAAGATGGCATCCTAGCCCACTACTCTCTTACAGCCTTTTTAAAAAGTCTACATTATTTTTACTTCACTTCCATGCTAATGCAAATTCTTCTACTACCTAATTTTAACGTGTGCACGATGTCCTTTCTCTTACGTACAAAGGTGCCATGGCTCAAACAATGCCCTGTGGTTATGTTTAATCCAAATTTGCAGATGATGATCAAAGGATTAAAAGTGATTCATGTGGCTAAAGGTCCACCTTGGTTGGTGAATATTAAAGAGAAGAAAAAAACAGTAAATGCTCTCTTTGGAAGCTGCAGTCATTTATAGAGATTCATGGGGAAATATGGATTTAATAGATCCAAGTGTGGATGTTTCACTACGAAACAGCTCAATATTTGGAAAAAAAAAGTATTTTGAAATTCCTTTGCTTGTGGAATTAGAGAATGAAAGTAGAGTTGATAAGAAAACAAACTGAAAAATAAGGGAGCTAATTAATCCCTAAAAGGAACTGGGCTTGGGGGTGGGTGAGCCACAGATTTTGCTAGCGACTTTCCGACGCAATCAAGAACACCAGAAAGACCACCAGTGAGGAAAGAGAATTCGTAACCACGCTCATTAATTCTAAAACTTGATGAAACAGACCGTTACCTAAGGGGAAAAGCTGTCAAAGCTGACACAGGAAGAGTTAGAAAACCTCAGCAAAGCAACCAGCCTTAAAAACAATTCTGAAAGCTGAGTTAGAACCATTCTTCTTAAAATCCCCAAATCCAGAGGGTTTTCGAAGGCAAACCATTCCAGTTTTTCAAAAGCATACACTTTTCATGGCAATTAGACTATTCTGCAATAAAATGAGGAACACAGAAAGATTTCTCAATGCTCTTTTTTTCTCTAAACAAATCACGAAGCTGTTAGCATTCCATCTTGACAAAGACAAGCGCAGAAAGAAAACCTGCATCTGCCGGATAAATGACAAGACAGAAGCCCTTAAGCCCTTAGCAATCTTGCCGACATCACGCGGTTACGCGCCCTGACAGCAAAGGTCACTCTAAAAATGCGGGACGTTCGGCTCTTGGGGCTTAGAAACCGATACCCCAGATGTGTCACTCCGACATTGCTAGACAGAAGAAGCCGCCGCAAGGTGTCTCTGACCTTCCCTCCTGCTTCTCTATCCTCTGTCTCCCCGAAAGCACAGGACGAAGCTGTCCCCTCATCCACCTAGAATCTTGACCCGCCCCCCCCAATGAAGAAAACAATGACCCCCTGGTCCCTTCCCTAAGCTTTCATTCACTGAACTCGTATCGCGGGAAGAAAGAACAAAGTCTTCAGCACACCTGGGCAGGCTTCGGCACAAACCACTATCTGCAGTTTGAGCCCAACAGACGTTGCTCCAGGCCAGTGTGATACGTTCTTGAAGCCCATTGGATTCCCCTAAAAATCTTCACTGCCCCCCGAAATCACACAGGCACCCCCATTTCCATGTCCCCTATGGAGAAGCAGTGTAGATAGGTGTCTGTACCCCTCACAGAGAACCTCTGAGGTTCTACCCATGTACACGTTATTATAATGCACTTGGATGTCCTTTTTCTTATTAATCTGCGTCTTGTGAGCTTTTCAAAGGACAAGCGGGAAATTTCTCCCTGGGCCCGTACGACAGCATCACACGAGGGTCTCGAGATCCCAGGAAGACATGTTCGTGGTCACAACCAGGACGCTGGGGTGGGAACGTACCACTTAGATAACCGAGTGGCTGCACCCAAAGCCGTGTGAGCGCCCTGTGGGTGTAGCCACGTGGATCTCAGCTTACCTTGAAAAGCAGCCAGCTGAACACCTTCTGAACCAGACGTGTGCCCCAGAACACGTGCCTGTAGAGCTCCGTGTTGACCACGCCGGGGTCTACCACGTTGGCGGTCACGTGACTGCCCCCGGCGGCCAGCAGCCGCTGCAGGTGGTAGGAGAAGAGGACCAGGGCCAGCTTGCTCTGCGCATAGGCGCCGTGGGGCGAATAGCATTTTCTGCAGAACAGAACGGGACGTGGGGTGAGAGGCCGATTGCATTCCTGTCCGAACGCTGCACCCCACCAACGCCCGTGCCCCCAGCCACATCTGTCTGCAACCCCCCAGCAAGGGGTGATTTTGCAATCTGTTTCCCAAGGCACGGGGCTTTTTCTAGCTCATCTTCTGATTGCAAATTTATAACTTAATTGAATGGAGGTCAGAGATCTTGGATGGTGTTATTCATTCTTTGAAATCTGTTGAGGCTTTTCTTACGGCTAAGGCATGACCACTACGTATTGCTGGGGCTCGGAAAACAGCACCCTGACGTGAAGTCCTTAGACCTTCTCCTGCCTTCCTGTCTCTGTCCCATCCTCCCCCGAGGTCACCATGGAAACTACCATCCCTCTTCCCCAAGGCAGGTCCTAGAAAGCAAAACCCCTATTCCCCAAATCCAGCCATAAACCCTGAAAGTATGACTCCAGCTTTCCCTCCGCCTTTCTGTGTAAAACTGGCCATGAGGAAGTTCTCTGAGATGATTTTATCGGGGTGCACACACCAAACACAGGGAACACCTTTGTGGCAAAGCGTGGCTTTTGTCCTTAGGTGGTCGTGCTATACATACTAACAGCAATTTTTTCCTTAATTTTATCTGATATTAACGTCGCCCCGACAGCTTATTGGAGGTTTGATATGCCCAGTAGGCTGTTTTACCCTTACTCTTCCAAACTCAGAAAGGTTTCTTACACTATTAAAAAGTCCACAGATGTAATATACCCCATGAAGAGTTTAACACATTTCAGTGAAAATCTGTAAGTGCTTGGATTGCATGCTTCGCTGATCTGTGCACGTTTTATGGAATGGTCTCTTCTGTGTCCTGTTGTCTAGATGAAGCTCAAATCTTAAAAGATATCCATGCAAACAATTTGGCAAAATTCCCATATTATCAAGAATTTCCCTCACGTGTACTGCAAGCTTGGTGCTGTATGAAGCACACGTTAAAGTCTTTACATGTTAAATTCTTTGCACGTGTGTCCGAGCGGTCTAAAGGAACGTCTCAGTATGACAGGAGGCCGTGATAAAATCGATTCAGCAACAAGGCTGAACATGTCTCTTTCTAGCAAACCGAACCACCGAAAGCACAGATAGCCCGACCTCGGTGGTTTTACTCCTATAAATACATTCTACCTACGACTTTGATATTTATGTCTCAGAAACACACTTTGAAGAGCCGCTATTTGTGGAGTTATAGAATATCCCTTGAAGGTATACAAACACAATGCATTCCTTTTAGAATTTAATGCTAGGGATACTCGGTTGGCGATAGGATTAGCCTCATTTTTCTTTTTAATAAGACGAGGAGAAGTATTTCAGCAATAACTTTCCCCTTTTTGCCTTGGTTGTGAAAATGCCCAGAGGGGTCGATTGAATTTTCAATTTTCATAACAATATCACAAAGTGACTGTATATCTTCCCTCTCCAAGGGATTTTTTTTTCTGTCTTAACCCTGTTGTATAGGTATCTTAATATAAGCCACCTCAGGTATTTTCAAATATCAGCAAGTTATTTATGTTGAATAGACAAAGATAAGATCATAAAACCAAAAAAAAAAAAAAGTTTAAGACATTCAAGGATGAAAAGGAAGAAATCATACAGTCAAGCCATTACTTCCAGGAAAGCCAACCATGAAAATTCAAGGTGTCTTACCAACAAAGGCTCTTACTAAACAAGCACAGAAAACTGAAACACATGAACCAAACCTTTACCTAATTATTTAGAGAAGGGAACTGAGGATGTTTGCCCAAAGAAAGCACACAAAAGAAAAAATGACCAAAGCGAAATACTTAAACATAGAAAACAGTATAGATATAAATACAGGGTGTCCCAAAAGTCTCCACACAAAGGAAAAAATTTGTAAAATTTTGTGAATAAAGGCACATTTAGCTACAATTTCCCATTTTCCCTGTGTAGGGTGACTTTTGGGACACTCTGTAACATCACTGAGGAATAGATACTGGTTTTGCTTTGCAAATCTTCTCCCCTACCCCTATATAACTTCTACTGCACACTGTATTTTCTAGATAAGAAAAACCATCATTTCATGGGCTGAGGAACCTCGGGGAGATGTCCAGACAGCCCAAGGAAGTGTGGGTACCTGTGCAGCAAATGCAAGTATCTTTCTGACGGGCAACTTGGCAACATGTATCCACATCTTGAAAACTGTCTCTTGTGGAATAAAAAAATCCTGGCCGGGCGCGGTGGCTCACGCTTGTAATCCTAGCACTCTGGGAGGCCGACGCAGAGAATTGCTTGAGCTCAGGAGTTCAAGACCAGCCTGAGCAAGAGCGAGACCCCATCTCTACTAAAAATAGAAGGAAATTAGCTGAACAACTAAAAAATATATAGAAAAAATTAGCTGGGCATGGTGGCGCGTGCCTGTAGTCCCAGCTACTCGGGAGGCTGAGGCAGGAGGATCGCTTGAGGCCAGGAGTTCGAGACCAGCCTGAGCAAGAGCAAGACCCCATCTCTACTAAAAATAGAAAACCATCCAGGCATAGTGGTGTGTGCACCTGTAGTCCCAGTTATTCGGGAGGCTGAGGCAGGAGGATCGCTTGAGCCCAGGAGTTTGAGGCTGCTGGGCACTATGATCACAGCGTTGCACTCCAGCTTGGGGACAAGGCGAAACTCTGTGTCAAAAAAAAAAAAAAATCGAAACATAACTTTTTGGGGGGCTAAGAGAGGAGGAACATTGAATATACATAATATACGGGGTGAGGTGAAGAAATTTAAACAAAGAAATCGGGCAGCTGAGAGCTCTAGTTCCCTTCTGGATCCAAGATAAGCCACAAGCCTCCAATTACTGTCAAGATATCTTTTTAAGGCAAATTCCTCTGATCTCTTCATCCCAGGGGAGGAACTGCGGGAAACAGGGAGCTATTAAGTGGGGAGAGAAAAAGGCTGGCTTTCCTCCGGGCAGTTGGGTCCCTCGAATACCAGGTACAAGCATTTGGGTCTGAACTACCGGGGTGGAGTGTGGGGCTAAGGGCTTGCTACTTTACAAAGCAGAGCGTGGACACTTAGAAACGCAGATTTCTCAGGAGTAAACTGACGACTTACATAATTATGGTTTCTTATGACAGCATGGAGGAGAGAGAACTAAAACTCTTTAAAGATACTCTGCGGGGAAAGAAAGTCAATCCATTTCTCTCCAAGAGGAGGAACAAAAAAAAGTCCAAGAGCACAGGAGGAGAGATTCCCCAGTGCATTAAGGGATAAAGAAATGTCTACAGCAGAAATGGAAAGGAATGAAAGGAAATAAACAAAAAGACACAATTCCCCACGAAGGTTTGTAAATAAAACCCTAAGGACTGACAGGAGGACTTAGTGTTGAAAACAACCGAGAGGCTGTCACGCCGTTAACAGAAAGACGCAGCAGAGAGAGAGAACGTCCGCCCGCAAACACAGGGTGAGAGAAATTCACCAAATGTCTACAGCGCCTGCTTCTCAAAATGGAATTTTTAATACACGTTTTGAAATAAATGGTGAGAAAAAGCAGAACCCAAACACCATAAACACATGTGTAAAAAATATTTTGAATGAGTCGTAGGTTGTTGCTGTAACTACGTAAAGAATAATTTGAAGCTCCGTCAAACGAAAGCAGAGAGAAGGATGTATCAACAGCAACCTCTCTCTACCGGGTGCAGAGAATGAAAGGTGAGTAACTGTATTTTGAACACAAAATATGCATTTCTGTGTGTGGCATCGAAGAGGCAAGAACTGTACGAAGGATTGCAGAGTCAAAGCTTAGGGAAACATTCCTTTGGAGAAGGGGCGCTGCATTTTATTAATAAATTGCAGTGGCTTTGGCTTCTGATGGGTCAGAAGACACTGGATTTTATGATACCTGAATTTCGTAGAAAGAGCGTGTGGTGTTTTTTGCACCAAGGGCATCGCATGGTCTGGGTCTGCAAATGGCCTAACAGCTTGTGGAAATGCACTGCTCTAATTACGCCACGACTTGTGCGCTACCCGCTGGTGGGCATCGGGCAGGCTTGGTCAGGGAGGGTCCCCATTCCCAGCAGAATGTCAGAAATTGACTAAGTCATTCGTTTCTGTTGAGCAAATGAGGTTTTCCAGATCTCACCAA